GCAGCAGCCCAGGGCCCCCCAGGCTGACCCAGCCAAGGCCCCCAGCTGCTTCCTACACTTTTGTTATGTCCATGGGCCTCCTGACTGTAGCAAAAGTTGCCTGTTACGAACTTGGTTTGGGCAGTACCGGGCTCACGCCAGTGATGGTCTGGGAAGAATTTTGGATTTTACAGTCCCTCCTCCAGTACAGCAGGAATCAGAAGGGCTGTTTTTATGAGAGAATGAATCAATGATGCTGCCAGTGCCTCTCACCTCTCCTTGTTTCCTTCTGAAGTGCAATGCAGCCCTTCTGCCTGTGGGGCCAGTGACTGGAGGTGCCACACGGGGCTCACAGCTCCCCTGCCCGTGGCCAGCGGAGCTCGCCCCCCTGAAGGACTCGCTTTTTCTTAATAGTGAAGAACCCTAATTTGATTTAAAAGACTTTTATTTTCCACTAGAGCCCCCTGAACAAGCCCCAAAGATGCTTTTGCTTATGCCAAGCTGGGCTGCAGCAGGACATACGGACAGAGAATGTCTCAGCCAGGCAGGACCACTCGGGGGGTTCCTCCTCCCCGTCACCAGGATTTCCTGCTGCTGGTGTCACCAGCCAGTCCCTTATCCAGGACACCTGCAGGTGTCATGGGAAGTGTCCCAGTGCCCACTGCCCCCATCCCTTTGGAGCAGCCCCCCCTGTGTTTCAGTGTTGCAGCACTGGCTCGGGCTCCACTAAATGTGGGGGGAAAGCAGCTCCAAAAAACCAGCTGTTGGGTAACATCAGTGCTGGGTGACATCAGGGTCTGTCACCGGCCCTGGGTGTCCTGGGAGGATGTCTGGACCTGCCAGAGCACTGTCACCTGTGCTGTCCCCAGGCCACCTGTGCTGTCCCCAGGCGTGTGGGTCGGTCACCGGGTGGGGAGACACCCCCTGGGTACAAACGGTTCTCGCTGGTGCTGAAGTATTTCACTTACCTCAATTTCTTTTAATAAAAAGAATGAATTACACCTCTGTTGCCAGGAGTGGAATCTGTCACCCCCTGTCCTGGGTACCCTGGGGTTGCTCTGCTTTCTCTGGGGCAAGAACGGGGGGTTTATGTGGGACCCCTCAAGGTCTGGGGGGAGGATGGAGCAGAAGCTCCTCAGGGTCTCGGCCATGCCCCTCACCTGAGCCCTCGGGCAGGTCCTGTTCCTCCTCCATGATTTATTGTCACCTTTATCATCACAGTGACTGGGACCAACAGGGAAAAACCGAGCCCTGGCAGCTGCTGCTGAGGTGGTGGGAGAACTTCAGGGACCCTCCCCCAGGGACAGCTGGACTCGAGGATCTTTAAGATCTTTTCCAGCCTCACTGGTGCTGTGACCTGCTCAGCAGGAGGGGAAAAGACCCACAGGACCCTTGGCCGAAGGGTGTCCCCTGGGAACCTGCTCAACCTTTTGGGAGGTCCCCACATGAAAGGTGAGATGTTAAATTTGCCCACATGAGCCAACACAACTCCAGCCATTCATTTCTCCTGCATTTCTCGAACCAGAACCCTGATAGTTAAATACGGGGTGGTGGGGGGACAGACCCTGCTGAACTCCAGAATCACATTTAAAACTCTTTAGCCTAAAATATCTACATATTAAAATGCCAAGAAAAGACGTACCAGAGCTGTAAGCTCTCCAAAGCCCAAGATCAAAGTGCCATCATCTTTTAATGTAAACCTTTTGTTGCATCAACAGTCTTAAGAGGGATGAGAGACATCAAAATAAAAACTGAGACAAACTGGGGCTTTGTAGCTGTTTTTTGTTTTAGTCTCTTCTCTCAATTTGGGCCATGAAATAGGTCAGCTCCATTACTGATCAGCCTTCCCACAAATATTTAAAACAAATTGAATTGCACACCCAATACCCATCACAATTACGCCAGGCACAATAACTAAATTAGCAATTCAACAAAATAATTGGAAATGCGATTCTCTCCATTCCAGAGCCTCCCCCGGGGCTTTGGCCGATCTATGGGGGGAAAACTCTGCTTTACTAATTCTGCAGCTAATTAGAGACACACTTGTAAATGAAGTTGTTTGTCTGAAAGTTGAAATTCTTCGCCGTGGCGGGGTTGGGGGGGAGAGGATTAACACAACCCTCTGTCCCTCCCTCCGCACACCCCGGGCCCCAAAACGCTGGGCCGTGTTTTGCTGAGGTGCGGTGCCCGTTTGTGGAGGTGATAATTAGCAGCTGTATCATGAATTAATAAAGAATTAATATTCTATTGGGGGGGGGGGATATCTCGCTGTTAATGGGCAGCATTAGGAAAAGCTGGTGGAAATCACCCTGGTTATGTGTGTGTGTGTGAACAGCTCCGAGGGCTCTGACCCTGCCGTGTCGGACACTCCGGACCTTCCAGGGACTGGGGGAGCTGAGCCGGACTGGGGACACTGGTAATGCAGAGCCCACCCTCCTCCTGTGTTCATGCACCCCCTCAGGAGACCCTCCTGCTGTCCCCAGGCTCTGGGACGAGCCACCACTGGCCACAGGCAAGTCACTGTGCTCCGATGGGTTGTTCCCCAGGGATTACACGGGCTGCACTTTTTCCTGCAGCACATTCAAATCCAGGCACGGGCCCATTTTCCTGCCGGGAATCAGGGGCTGCCCTTACCAGCAAGGTCAGAGCTGGAACGGGGCCTCATCCGCCGGCCCAGGTTCTCGCCGTGTCGCCACGACCCAGGTGGTGGTGGGGGGACAGGGGGGAACAGGCTGCTTAAACACTGATAAGTGAATTCAAAAGCGTGCTTAGTGGGGCTTGGGCTCTTATCTCCTCAAACAATGCCGACGAGAAGTTATCACATTTAAAGTGGTTCATATTACCCTTTTAACATTACAGCCAGAATGAAAATAGAAAAAAAAAACCCACGGAGTGCCCTGGTGCTGCAGCTGTAGAGGACACAGGAGTCAAACGGGAAGGGGGTGGCACAGCTGCAGCCACAAAGAGCCCAGAGAAACAAACCCTGAGCAGGGCAGGGACAGGGGGATTTCTGCTAAACCCCCTTAATGTGGGCACCGACAGCACGAGCAGCCCGATGCCATCCCACCGACACAGCTGATTTTCCTGCCCTCGATGCCTCTCAGAATTGTGGTTGTTAAACCCTGAGATTTTAATCAGAGCACAGGGCCCTGCTGCTGCTCAGGGCAGCGCAGGGACAGGTCAGCAGGTCAGAGGTGCTGGGATGGCACAGGTCACATGGGATCCTGCCTTGTTGGGGAGCTGGAATTGAGAGGGAGTGGATGGAGGGGACAGGACATGACATTGCCAGGATTTCCCATGGGAAATGGTCACAGCTGGAGACCCCACAGCTGGAGCAGCCCAGTGACAGCCCACGCCGAGCTCACCAGTGAACTTGGGACTGCTCCCCTATTACAGGTGACCGAAAAATCAGCCCTTCCCTGTGCCCAGGACCCTTTGGCCCTTCTCCCCACAGCCCTGAACGGTGCTTTGCCTGTGCTGGGCATCACTGTGGGGCTCTGCTGTAGGTGATGCCAGCAGTGGGATCCTGAATCCAGCGGTGACAACAGTTTGTGTGTTTCCACCTGGACCAGAGCTGGGAGGGGATGGGGAGATGGATGCACCTCCCTGGGAGCTGCAGCTCTGCCCTGCTGTGAGAGAGCTGAGAGATTTACTCACCCACGAGACACGTGTTTGCCACCCAAAGTCAGTACTCACCTTGGCACTTTCTGGAGCCAGGGAAAATGAGATGTGTCTCCAGAGGGCAGGGAGGGAGCCGAGCCCGGCACCACTGAGGGGCTGGGAAAGGAGAATCTTTTTTTTTTGTCCTGTTTTTAACCCAGGATTTCCCACTGCTCAAGGGAAGCTGCAGCTGAGCTGGCCTCCCTCGCTGTGGTGGACTCTGTGCTCCCCATCCCACTGAGGTGTTGGGAAGACATTTATTGGGAGCAGGTGACTAAAGGGAGACTAAATCTGTAATGATGAGGTGCAGAAAGGATTAATTAACATCAGCTGCAGACAGCTCTGGGGACACAGTGAAGTGCAAAAATTTGGCTGCAGAGAATCTGCTAAGGGAAAAGAGGGATAAAACTGTGGAGCAACACATCCCATTCCAAGCAGAGGCAGGACTGGGGGAGCAGCACAGCAGGAGGTGAGGGAAAGGGGGAATCACTGCAAGGAGATGCAAAGGGGGATCACTTGGTGCACTCTGGGCCTCACCCTCAGGGGCAGCAGCACAGGGCACAGAGAAGGCTTCCTTCCCTGCCATCTAACCCGTTACAGCCTTAAAAAGAGATGCATTTTTATTTAAGCCTAATTAGAAAAAATAACAAAAAAGTCAAATTTAGTCACCTACTGCAAAACTGATAAAAACTGTAATTTATGCAGGGAAAAGCCCCCAAATCCCTTGGCTTTTTCAAGGTCAGGAATGGGGCAGGTGGCTGCTTCACTCCATCTCTGTGAAAGGGGACACTGGTGTGGAACGCCCGAGCCAGTGGGGCCCTTCCTGCACGGATCACACCGGGACAACCAGTTTATACAAACCATTTTAATGGCATCACCCAAAACACCACCCAGGGACAGGGCAGCTCTGTGGGACAAGCCATGCCAATACACACAAGATAACCTCAGTCTGGGACTCATCACAGCGGAATCCCAAATTCCCCTCACAGGATTTGATATCCCACCTCTACCCTTTGGCTACAAACCCCCCCAAACCCCTCAGGGGAGTCACCTCTGCCCAGTTTCACATTGTGCTGACACCCTTCAGCGGGCTGTTGTGGCCATGGAGAAGGCACAAAGGCTCAGAGTCACGACCAGCTGAAAGAACCGATCAATGCAGGGCTGCAAAATTCACCAGGAGGTTCCCAGGGCAGGATTATCCCCTGTGTTGTGGTCAGCAAATGTCCCTGTGTTCGTTCAACAGCTGGAAATGTGAACTGGGACCTCTTGTGCCTGCAGGGGAGAGCACCTTTGCTCTGTTTTAAGGCCCTGTTAATTATGTAAATGACATTTAAATCCTCTTGGAGAAAAATAAAGTCACATGACCAGAATGGGGTGTTTAAATCCCCCCCCAAGCCCCAAATCAAAATCTCTGAGGGTTTAACACAACTGTGGGGGACCCCCGTGGGGGGCTGGTGGTCCCTGCTGGGCTGGATTGTGTCCCTTCCCCCCAGCATTGCCCCCAGATGGCAAAATCAAGGTCAGGAATTTGAAGGAACAGTGAAAAGTGGGTTGTCTCTGGGAGGAAGCACTTGAAGCTGGGCAGGGTGGGTGTTCAGCCAGGCTCAGTGTCCCCACTCATCCCTCTGATTCAGGTTTGATGCTCCTTCAGGGAGGATTTTAGGGACAGACCAGAGGATGGGGAGACCTTGTCCTGCTCCTGGGCAGCCGGAGGGAGCCAAGGGCCCGATCCTAATTCCGCTCCAGCTCTTCACCATTCGTGACTTTTCCAAACAGAGACCGATAAAGCTCCGTCCTGGGGAAAGAAAAAGAAGGTGGAGAGGGAAAAGTTACTTCTCAAGGTCAACACGGAAAGAAGAGGCCGCCACAAACCCTCCCCTCCAAATGGAAAGGCCTCGTGTAATTAAAAATGCATTCAACAATCTTTGTTAATAAATACAGAGGAGGGGGGAAACTTGGGTGAGACCAATCCCAGGCAGCACAGAAATACGTAAACACCTCAGTGTGGCTGGAGCTCGGATCTCCAGAGAATGAGGGCTTCTGTAAGTTTGCCCTTTCCAGACAAGGCTCTTCAAGTAAGGAAGCAAGATTGAATATTTTAATGGGATGTACGAGGCCACGGAGCTGTGAGGAGGATTCAATCACAGCCTACGTGGGACTGTAATTTGGTTTTCAGACATTTTCTTGGACAGTGCTTGAGAAACAATGCAAATGACCCGGCAACAAGATTCCAATTAATAATATCCCACGTGCAGCAATTCTGATAACAGGAGCGAATTTCCCTTTAAAAAAGAAAAAAAAAAAAAAAAAAGTGGGCTGGTGTTATCTTTAATTTTAGAACCTGAGTTGGGGGAGAGTTATTTCTGAGTATTGAGGGAAAAACACGGGGAAGAGCCTTATTTTGTATAAATGCATTTTCTGAGGCAGCAGCCTTTTGTCACCGCTGCACACTCAGAGCAGGGGGTTGGTTACACGGGGGGTGGGATCTCCCCTTCCAAAAACAGTAACAACCCCAAGGTTATGAGCGAGAGCCAAGTGATCCCATTGCCTCAAACCACCCTAAAGGCATTCTGGAAAATCCAAGGGGGATTTGCTCCAGAACAGACTCCCCTCTCCGGGTCTCCAGGCCCTTCTCCCTTACACGTGAACTCATTTCTGACACCCCCAGCAATGTGAGGAAGTTCAAACACAACGTGTACACGCTGGGGGACCCCAAAGAAACCACCAAAGACAGAAGGAGCTTCTGTGTTTGCAACCAAAACCCCAGAGTGTTGTTTCTTTGCAGCCTTTCCCGCTGCAGGAGAACCCAAGGAGGAGAATCCCTCAGGTTTTTGTCCTCATTTTGGTGGGTCTGGAGCTGTCCTGTGGGTACAGGAGTTCAGGGATCGATGCTGGATTTGCTGCAATCCCACAGATTTTAAATAAACAGCCATTTTTCAGGCAGGCAGGGCCTGGGGAGATTTCAGGCAAGGATCTGTCTTTGGTGGCAGAGGAAGGTTTGCCAGCACTGACAGGCTGTGACGTGGACACCCCAGGTTTGGGGGGCACAGGGGGGTTTCTCCTGCACCCTACAACCTCATCCTCCCAGGCAGAAATCCAAGTGGAGCTGTTTGGATAATAAATCATGGACAGATCCCCTGGCAGAGAGACAAGAAAAGGAGGGAAATCAGGTAACCCCCAAACCATCCCCAAAACAGAACAAACATTTCACCCTGAAAAAATAAAAGAATAAAACAATAAAACAACACCACCTTTTTTTTTTTTCCCCTCTCTTTTCTCATCACCCAGGCTCCCTTTCTTTTACAGCCTCTCCCCTCAGCAGGATTTAACCATGCAGAGAGTAAAACTCATCAATCCTCCAGGTTTAACCTTGTCTCTGTTTCAATTCACCAGGGTAAGTGCAGATTTTAATACTTTCAGCCCCCTTAAGGCTATGCATAATGAACTTGGGTTTTGGTTAAAAAAATATCAAATTTCTCTCCTCCACCCCCAGATATGAAACATCAGACCTGAGCCACCGAGTTGGAACACCCCACTGCAAGTGTGTTACCTGCAGCTGCAGGAAAGGTGACTTTTTAGCACAAAGAGGTTCTGGAGGCAGCATGTGCTGAGGAATAACCTGTGCGGGTAATTAACAGCGCTCACACCTCAGGTAGGGAGTGTGGAAGGAGCAGGTCGATACAGGGGTCTTCCCTGAATTAAAATTTAACTCACCCTTTATTGCAACCTACAAAAGCAAGTAATGAGCACTAACATTTTTATTTCTTTTAAACTGTCATTTAGGCTGTAGAGGGGATAATTACCTATTTCCACTGTAGTAAGGTTTTATCACCCTTAGTGAGGCATTTTCTAATTTAATATTTTTACTGTATTATCATAAAACCTGTTTCTGGAAAAAAAATGATCACGGACCACGGAGCCATTTGCCATAAAACATGTGTGTGTAAGTACCTTGGCTTAATTATTTATGCATTTCTTCTGAGCTGGCTCCAGAGCCAGGGGACAGCACCCCACCACGAAAACTGGGCTTTTCAGGTCAACAATATTGTTTTAAAATGTGAAATAAAAGGAGCAGCTACTACTCCAGGTGGTGAACCTGGTGTGCTAAATGCCCAGTGGGCTCTTCCCCCCTCCAAACCCCAGGTATTGCTGCTTACACACATTTTAGAGGCAAAATCCTTGCAACAGAGAGCAAGGAAAAACACACACACACACAGAGTGAATATTAATTGCAACAGCACATTTCATAAATCTATAGGAATCTTCAGCATATAAATCACAAAAATTCTAAACAGAAGCCCAGGAAGGTACTTTGCCCACCAAATGCACAAAGGGGGAACCAAACATGCAGCTGAACGTGGGAAAAGCCAGTGTGTTGTGCTATTCTCTGTAATTACAGGCACGTTGCAAAGTCTTTTTTCTAAACATAATTCTGTGAATTAGTAGAAGAACAATATTAAGGGGGAAAATCCAGTTTCTGGATTTTTTTTTTCTTATTAAAACAGCAACAGTGCTCAAGCCACTTCTGTGCTCTTGTAGTAAAAATACCCTCCAACCAATTTCTCTGCCTTTTCCCTTGTACCCTTTACTTCTTCTCTTCCTCTACCCCAAAAAAAGATAATTTAGAATATGCCACAAGCAGTACTGAAATGACTGTATAACCCATTCCTCCCGCCATCCTCCAGTGGGAACTATGAATTTTTAATTCACAAAAACTGGAAAAAGACAAATCATGAACACCCATGAAGAAAGAAAGCATGAAAAAATGGAAAACACACGACTGCTGATGAAAACTGAAGTTGGCTGATTGTTTCCTTGGAAAACTTTCTGTCTGCACCCTAAGAAATGTTTCATCCTGTGGTGTGAAATTCAGGTTACTCAGTGCCCAGCAAGCAGAGCAGGTAACAGGAAGATAAGATAAAATAAAAAGATAAAAACAAAGCTGAAGCTTTTTATTTATTAATAAAAATGAGGTTTTTTTCTTAAAAAAATGAAAGGAAAGGAGCAGCTTCTCTGGGTGAGCTTGGTGTGCTAAATGCCCCCCTCCAAATCCCAGGTATCAGTGCTACACACACTCTACAGGCAACAGAAAAGAGACCAGGAAGACAAAACAAGCTGGAACCATTTATTTTTTAATTTCTGGTGAAAGGCTAAAGCAGTCTTAGTTTCTGATTAAACCCCAAACCAGCTGGCTGTGGGGTCTGGCTCTGAACTCCCACCCCGCACTCCCCACTCTGGCTCTGCAGCCACAAACCCTGGGGGTGCTGGGTGATGTGGAGACCCCCAAAGCAGGGCTCAGACCCCCCTGGTGGCACAGCGAGGACCCTGGGGCTCTGTGCCCAGCCCCACGAGGTGGCACTCATGGCACTCACTCCCCTCCCAGCCCCTGAGCGCTCAGCTCAGCCGTGACCCCCCGGCCCTGCCCGTGACCCCCCGGCCCTGCCCGCGCTCCGAGGGCTCCACAAAGGTCTCCTGCCATTCCCTCCAGCCCAGGCAGGTCGGGATCAGGCCCCCACCCAGCCCCTGCAAACGCTTTTAGCCCCACGGCTCTGAATTATGGAGGGTGACATGTGACCTCCTGCTCGTCTCCCGAGAGCAGGCACGAGATTTATAAACGGTTCACAAAGCTGGTTCTTGCCCTAAACAAAGGGAGGCTGCACAGTTGGAGAGGCTGGGTCTGGGAATGGGGAGTGGGAGGGCAGCAGGGAGATGAAAGGCTGGTGCCAAACACAGCTAGACCTGGGGTTCATCCCTGCCACCAGTTCTGCACATTCCCCTCACAGCATAACCAGCCTTGAGCTCGGGATACCATTAATAGATGGACCCTCTTTCATCCTGACTTTGGTCCCAACTGCATTTTCTTTGGAGCTTTTACAGCACAAAGCATAAAAGATGTGGGCAAATGGTTGTAGAAGCAGCAAAACACAGGGATGTGCAGGCAACTCCAGCCTGCTCTGCTGCCATGTGTTCCAGCAGCTGGAATTTCCCCATGAATTACACCAAATGCCTTCCCAGTCAGTTTTTGGATGGGTATTTGAGCAGAGAAGCCTCTGATGCTGCATGGGAAGTGCCCTGTGCAGGAGAGCAGGAGGGGACCATTCTTTGTGCCCCTTAATGCCCCATATTCCTGGGATGATTTCCCTCTTTCACAGCTTGCCTGTTTTATAACAGATTTGATGCAGGAGAAGACAAATTGTCTCACAAAGGAAAGACGACAAATCATCTCGCAGCCCTTTAACAGGTTATTTTTTTTCCTTCCCCTTTAAAAAGGAAATTTCCATACCAGAGGCGCCTCTCTCCTTACAGGGATGTCAGACATCAAGCGTTGGGACAGGGTGGGACAGCCCATCCACGCTGGGTCACCACTTCACCCTGCCAGCCAAAACCACACAACCCCCTGTGCAAACACCAGCCCTTCTGACACCGTGGTTCAAGTGACTCAGGGTGTCAAACTGCACCTCCATCAGCTCATGGTGAAGGCCAAGTCAAAGGTTGGGGGGATTTTTAAATGAAAAAAAAGAAAATGAGACACAAAGGGCAGAAATTTCAAGGCCAGGTTGGATGGAGCTCTGGGCAAGCTGGTCTAATGGAAAGTGTCCCTTGCCCACGGCAGGAGGGGGAATGAGATGATCTTTAAGGTCCCTTCCAACCCAAACCATTCTGGCATTCTGTGATGCCAAAGTCACAGTGCCTCAGGATGAAGCCAAGCAGGTTTAGATTCACAGGTCATGTTCTTTGTTTGGTTTCAGGCTCTCCTGCAGCTCAGGTGTGCAGCAGGTTACACAGCACCTCTCCAAGAGAGCCCACACGTCTCCCCTGAGGGGGTTCCTCCAGCAGTCCCAGAGCCCAGGCAGGAAACTCCCCCTTCCACCCACGGCCTCGTGCCAGGAACACCCCAAATTCCCTAAAACATCAGAGCCCTGCACCCTCTGAGACTGCCCTCCATCTTCATGCTCCCTCCCTTTGTTTCCCAAAACAAAGCCAAAGCAGGACAGCCTTTTTCCAGGCTGTGCCCGAATAAACTTACAATCACTTTTCTCACACCAACACCCAGGTTTGTGCCGTGCAGCACAGAAGCCACTGGCTTAGCTGTTCCAGAAAGAAGGGCTTTGCTTCCTCTCAGGAATTCTGTGCTGGTGAAGGTACTGGATTGACAATCGCAGAGCCCAAATTCCTCCATTAATCCCATCTCATGGTGTTTTAATACCCAAAGTACAAAGTGAGCCAAGTTAAAGGCTGGTATCTCACCAACCTTTTTTTTTTTTTAAATTTTTTTTTTTATTAAACTCTTATGTCATATAAGTAAATTAATCTTTTAATACCAGGATTTCCTACTACGTACCCCCCTCTGTTTGCAGAGACACGCTGTGACAAAGCAACCGCGCTGAAGTGAGAATGCTGATCGGGAAAACACACAACGTCCCGCCTGGATCCGAGGGAAATGCTCTAATCCAAGCAGCTCTCTGGCAGCTGGATAATCTGTGAGTTAATTCAGCCTCCCAGCAGGCTCGTGGAAGAGCAGGAGCAGGCTGGATGCTCTTGTGCCACACATGACCTGAGGCCAACGGGGCTGTGGAGGCAGGGGATTCATTTCCTGCACTTGGCCGTGGGATTTCGAGAAGTGATTCCTGCCCTGAGCCCAGTTCTGCTGCATTAAGTCTGCACTTCCAAAGTCAAACACAAAATTGTGACCATCTGCTAAAGAAAAGAAAACCCTGTGTCGAGGAAACGCTGCCCTACGAGGCTGGGCAGGACACGGGAGCTGGAAGGAGGGAGCCAGGACACACTCATGCAGGTGCCAGGGACAAAAAAAGCCTCTTCACCACAAGCCAACAGGTGATGTGGCTGAGCTCACCCCAGAGGTGTACGAGCAGCGCTGCCCCAAGGTAGGGACAGGTTGTGTAACTGGGCAAACACAGCACGGAAAGGTCTCAGAAGAGCAGGAGAAATTCCCCCAGCTCCCAGAAAGGCCTCCCGTTGTGGTGACACTGCTTGGTTTGACACAGTCCCAGCAGGGCCATCTTCTTCCCTCCAATTTGGCTCATAAGGGATGCAAATTCCCCCTCCCTAATGAAGATCCATTTGCAGAGGTACAAACCAACCTGTTCAAAACCCGACCTACCCTCCCCACCTTCCCCCAGTTACGAATCCCCGCTGGGAATCTCAGCGTGCGCTTGGGAACACGTCTCCTTTGTCCTGCCTGACTTTCCTGCAGAAAAGGCTCCTTTTGCCTCCCGTTCTGCACTGGGTGCCATGTTTAATGATGATGTATGGGTGTCCTTTTCCTCGGCGCTGCTGTGGGGAGGGGGTCAAACATGTGACACCGCCAGCATGTGTATCAACAGCAAATTATAAACCGTGTCAATCCAAGTTAATGCAAAGCTGTAATCCTCTTTAACAAGAGATCAAATCAGTGCCATGAGTTATGTTCATTCTGTAATCTGATAAGAAATAGAGTGAGTCTCTAATAAAAGAGTAATGAGAGCCCTTAATGATGCTGTTAAAAGGTAGCGCCAGTTAAAATATTGCTGTTGTTCCAGCTGATTAGATCACTGTTGCATATTTGCACAATCTTGTTTTACCTGTCAGAATAACCTGAGTCATCTTGGGAGATAAAGGTGTTTGTACCAAACATCTGTGTCCTTAAAGGACGTCTCCCCTGCAAGTCACCGTCCTCCAGAGGTGAAATTCAGATGTTCATCAAACTTCGCAGTAATTTGATATTAGACCTTGTTTTACGGTGTCTCTGTTTAGTCTCTGTTCCTCACACACACGGACAGTGCAGAGATCTGAAGATCTGTAAATCACAGCTGACAGGCAGAGAGAATAAAACCCAAATCCACACACAGCTCCTCCCAGGAACACAGGCTTTACCTGACCTTGCCACAACAGGGCTGTGCATTGGATCCACTCCTGCACGGACTGAAAACACCTCACTTGGAACAGACTTGGAGGCCTCAGCAGGTTCAACCTTAGCTCTGTCCCAGACCTTCTGTGTCCCCTTTGGCCATTCCCTAAGGCTCTTGCCTGAAGGATTTCTGGACCCAAAAGCCTTTGGAGATACAGGCTGTCATCTCCCTGCGCCCCATTTCCCAGGGTGTAAAGCAGAGGAGACTGGCCTGTTCCCCACCTCATGGCCACGGGAAAAACCTATTTCCAGGCAACTCCAAGAAGTGACACCCACATGATACCACCCTCAAACCCAGGAGAAATCACAGCCAACCCTGTTCTAACCCTGAGTAATTCCTGCCCAAGGCAGCTCCCCTCTCCTCTGGGCGACCACCAGAGGTTTGCCTTCAGGTCCCTTGTCTTAGGTCAGGCCATTTACATAGCAATGACCTTGGACCGATTAGAAAAACCTTGGCCCGAGAGGACAGTAAATGTGTTAAAGTCTATAAACATGTATCCCAAGACAACCATAAAAATCACTTTCCAATGTATGTTTTAAAATACTACCAAAGAGGGGTTAAAACAGAGGAGGGCTGGAGGCCACCAGTGTCCCACACATTACACCGTAATATATGTGAGCACGGGGTCAAACAGCCATGCCCATGCATAGGGTGCATGGAAAACTGGCAAGGGGAAGATTAATTGCTTCCACCAGTGCTATTATTCCAACCAGCAGCAAGAATAAGAAAGAAAGTGGCAGTGATGTTGACAAAGGCAGTTATTTGACTTGCATGTTCCTCTCCTCGAACTCGGGCTGTAAAACAATCCTGGAGTGACTGTTCATCCCCTTCTCTTCCCAGTGCTCAGGCTGCTCCTCCTCACAGGCAGAGAGAGAGCTGAACCCAAACACCTACTGAGGCCCCTAATTTTCAGGCACTGACCAGTATTTTGAATATGTTTTATGCCTGGATGCAAACACAAAAGGCGTAAAGTGGGGAGGAAGCTGATGAGCAGCACCCAGGTTTTCACAAGGGTTCCCACCCAAATGGGCAAGGGCTGCTGCAATGAGGAAGCACAAATTTGTTCCCAAAGCCCACGTGGAACAGGACAAGAAATAACAGGCCTAAATGACGGCAGAGGAAAATTTAAGCTCAACATCAGGACTAAAGCAGCAGAGAAGTGCTAAAGGAAGACTGTGATGCCTGTGATAGGCATGTTCTTTGTGCTGCAGGTAACCAGCAGGCATTTTGGCAAGTGAGAAAAGCTCGGGTTTCTATTTTTGAGTCTGAAACAAAAGCTTTCCTGCGTATGCTGAAAAATTAAATACCACTAAAATCACTATTACTAAACCACTGCTTTTATAACAGGCCCATCTCACCAGCAGCTCTCTGTGGCACAGAGCAATCAGAACACAGGGCAACCTGCTCAAGGTCACCCAGGAAGCCACTGGCAGAACAAGGCACAGAACCTGCCCAGCCTGACTCCATCCTTGCCCCATCCACACCCAGGGCTGCTGATCTTGGCAGAGTGGGATCCAGCTGCCCACACGGCACGACCCCCAGGCACGCCCGCTGTGTGACACATCAACACGTCTAACCCAGCACAGGAGCTCGGTGCCTGCAGTGCCATCAGCAGAGAGCATGGAAAGCCTCCAAAGTGACTCATAAACTTAATGTCAGGACTAAGTTCCCGCAGTCAGACAATGAGCAGCAGCTGCTGCTGCTGCCGCCGAACGCTCGCTCGGTGACACGCGCGAGCGACGCAATAACCTGCTCGATGTGGGTACAACAACACCGGCACACACCCCCAGGGAAACAAATGTCACCCACTCTGCCCCCACCACGGCGAGAACTGTGAGGACAGAGCCTCACACGGACGGGCTGGAGCAGTTCTGGGGGTCAGGCACCGTGCTGGGGGCTCGGGGTGCCTCCCGGGGAGCGAGGGGTAGCAGGATGGCAGATGAGGATGGCAGAGGAAGGGGAGCTGAGGCCCGAGAAGGTTGTAGCGCAGAATGACCCCCCTGTCCCAGCTGTTTGATGCACTCCACTCTTGCTCTGGCTGGCTGCAGGATTTTGGCTCACAGAGCACATTTTCTGTGCAACTTTCGGAACACGAGTGAGTGAGCGCGGTGGACTGTGAAGGAGGAGGCAATGTCACCTCTGGGGACAGCACGCTCAGTGTCACTCCTGGATTATCAGTCTCACTCTTTTTTTTTTCACCTCCCTCTCCCTCATACACCCCATGGGAGCTAAGCTTGCCTTGATTTTGGGGGCACAGCAGGGGTCTGCAGCCTGCAGGACAGTGCAATAAGTACTATATAACCACACCCCAACCTCATTCTAAATTCCTAAAGCATAACAATAACCAGTCAACTGGACATAATACTGAGAGAGAGGAATATTGCAGGCATGCAGATTATTAATGAAAATGGTACCAACTGGTTCTTCCCGTAACACATTTGCCACCCGCTAATTGCCCTCGGACCAGAAGATGTGGGGAGCAAGCAGCACATCTCAGAATTGTTTCCACCAGGAAACTACATCTATCTTGCCCCATCCTCTGATCCAGGTAAGGGGTGGAAGAACCGAGCACTTTATATGGCTGAAGCAATAGCTTTCACCCTGCACCATGTTTATTTCTGTGGTGAGAGGATCTAAACAATATTAAAAAACTCAGAGCAGCTGGGGTTTTTTTTCCTCACTTGACAAAAAGAGAAAAAAAAAGGTAAAGAAACTCTGAGAAAGATGCATGATGAAATATCACAGGTCTTATGGACACAAAACATCTTAGCCCCAGCTTACTCCTTATCCAGACCTCTGTGCAATCCCCCAAAAGGCAGCAGCCAAAGAACAGCAGGTATTTGGTTTCCATTTCGCAAACAGACAAATGACATCTCTCCCTCACAAAGCACAAACATGTTCCACAACCCAGGGGAAAGATGTTTCTCAAGTTTTCTACATCCATTCACTGGAAAAATTATTCCACCTCCTTCCCACAAAGAGCTTCAGCATTTCGAGATGCAGCTTAAAAATGTAATAAGAAATGTGGGTGGATATGTAGAAGAGCTGTTTGGTAACTCTGCACAAAACTTTATGGATATTTTCTTTACTAATTAGCACATTAAATCATAGTTTTACAATAAAATTCCTCATTCTTTAAATAGACATAAACACAAAGAACATTTAGGTCTTGAGTGAATCTTGACAGAATTATTCCAATTATTAACTAATCTAAGAAAATGCACATTAGCCAGAATCTGAAGTTGCCATTTCTGCTAGAACACAAGTTCTTTTTAAGTTTTGGTTATACCTGAGACCACCAGGTAACTTGGTTGCCTCTTTCCAAACGAATCCCTCCAAACTGGATGATTACAAAATCGGAGGAGTTTTAAAAGCAGGAACCAAAAATGTGGGTACCGAGATTTATGAAAACTTCTTTGTTTGGAGTCACAGCAATTAAGAGAGCGAAAGCTCAGCCAGGCTTCCAGGACAGATGTGACCAAGACACCCAGGCTATGATGCCAGTGACAAATGGTGAACTGATAAGAAGAAATGGAGGGGGCGACAGCCTGAAGAACAGGTCAATATCACGCTGTCATGCAGCCATTTGAGAACCATAATTAATCTATTACTCACCTGGCATCATCATTCATTGTGCAGTGGTCAATAGGTGCCATGAAGCTCACCAGCTTGCTATGCACATGATACCTGAGGAGTGCAGGAAATAAGCAGGCAGCACATTAGTAACTATTAATGAAAAGGAAATGTTGCTGCTTGACTAGAACCACTCCAGCCCCCTGAAAGGCAAAGCACTGGCTTTCCTGGGGGCTGATTCCTAATGAGTCACCGGTTGTACCTGGCAATTCCCCTTCCCTCTTCCTTTCTTACAACATGGACACAAGAATAATCAGATGATACAATGAACTGAACAGCCAGCAAATCCTTTTTTATCCCAGTGAGGAAGAGGACAGGCAGCATCCATTAATTGTGTGTGAGTCCCTAATCAGACTCCCAGACAGACAACCCTGAGAAGTCAGAGACACACACACTCCTTTCCAACCTTCCATTCAGCTGGCATCTTAATCACCTTCTGGAATCTGTGCCCAGAGCCCACTGCAGGCAGCAGGAGCGTCAGAGCATCAGACCTTCTCCAGCATCCATCTGCTACCAGTTCTTCCTTGCTCTGTGGTATGCAGGGCCCTAAAGGACATCAAAATCCCACTCTGCAGCCATGTCCATAGCTGGAAAATCTTACCCTGAATAGCTTACAAATGGAGCATGTAAAAACAAGGGAAGGAGAAGACAGCAAAAGGCCTGTGCAAAGATGAGATGGGGTATATTCTCATCACTGAAATATTTCTGCAAGCTGCCCTGCACCCCCAGACACAGGATCTCCTCACCACTTTCCACACTGTAGTGCATTTCATGCCTTGTACTCAAGGACACAACATCAAATTTAACAGGGTACTGAAAACCTCCGAATGGAAGTGGCTTTAAACCCTGTGTCTGAGGGCAGGGGATTCCAAACCACTGGTGTGCACTACCTGCCTACCCCAGCCTGCAATGTTTCATCCAAGCTGCTGCTATTTTTAGAGCTTGACAAATAGCAGGCAAAAGGATTCACTAGCATTTGCCCAGAATCACCTTTCCACTCTGTAACCTCTGCACTCCCTTTTGTTTGCTTATGCAGGAACATTCCCTCGAGGGGATTTTCAGCTCACAAGCCCATTTCAGAGCGGCTCTTCAGGCACAGCACACACTCACCCTCACACAAGGGCTTCTCTGCACAATCAAGTCTTTGTCAGTGGTAATGGAAGGAACTGCCCTGGCCCGATGCTGTAATGATGGAGGCAGGGAACAGGCACAGCTGAGCAGGGCTAGAGCTGCCACAATCGACAGGTCAACAGCCCGGGCTCTGAAACAGTTCCCTTATGAGACACTGCCACGGATTTACACAGATCAAGGCTTACACTGACACAGCCTGGCACGGGGACGTGGCAGTTCAGGTAAATTCTCTGACACGAGCTGTTTGTCCACATCTAATCACTGCCACACCTTTTAAATCAGGACTTTAAAAATCCCAGAATCCCACTCTAGCAGATACAAAATATTTCATTTCATTCACAGAATGCTGCAGCAGGACCAGAAATCCCTGGCATGAAAAGCAGGTGTGCAAACATCACTCCTTCCAGGTCTGCCCCAAGAAAGGGCACTTCCCAGTGAGGGGCAGGAGAGTTTTAGGCACCAGGTTTCTTAAGCTTGACTGGGGAGTGTTTGGATGAGTTTATTTCCTCAATGCCCAAATTTCTCTGTCTGTGAAGGGGACAGGTACTCGTGTCAAGTGGCAGACTGACTGCTTCTGAAAGCACTTGAAGCTCCTCAGCCCCTGCAGTAAACCAGCATATTTTATCCAAACATGCTGTAATGTTGAAGCTTTGCTAAAAGGGAAGGATAAAGGAGACAGATCTAACTTAGCATTAAACACTTTGCTCTCCAGGATCTCAAAGTCCTTCGTGATAGCAAATTTAAGCATTGCTATTCCAGTTTTAGACAAGGAATAAAAAAGAACAGAGGGAAAGGGATCTGTCTGGGGTGACACCAAGTCTCTCACTGGAAGAACCAACTAATTAAAAACAGCCATTTGGGCTCCACTTGCCTATTCTGAAAAGAAGCTGCAGCTTAACTTGATGTTGATGCTAACCACAGACAATGAGAGTTTTTGCTTTTATTGTTATTTCCCCTGCAACTTTTATTTAAAGAAGCAAGAGAAGGCCCCTAAGATGTAAGAGGTGACTGGTTTGGTGAGATGGCTGCTCTCCCAGGAATGCTGAACACACACACTGCACACAAGGAGAGACTTCCCCATTACTCCTGGAGCTTTACGAGTCTGCCTCAGTTGTGTGATGTTGTCAGTAGTTTTGACTGAATCATGAATATATCCAATTATGTGTGATGCTGACAGAAAGGAATATTGATAGTCAATAATTATGGGCTTTTCAGGCCAACAAAGTAGCTCTTCCCTCTTTCAATAAATTATCTCATGACATCTATCTTAAAAATTGCTATGCCAGGCCTGACCCAGACTGACTCCACTGACTTTCTATCAGATGCCATCTAAACTCAGGATTTATAGTTTACTCACAAAAGGATGGTTAATGTCGCAGATTTTTCAGGAAGCAGAGCAGCTTTTCAGCATCCTCCCCCACCACAAATCATGCAGTCATGCTAAACTCAGGGAGACTGGGAGATCTGCTCTGCAAAGGGGGGAAACTCGGCTCTCCAGGCTGCCTCCCCCTCCACAGGGAAGGTTCTTCCACTGGCAACACAACCAAGTTCAAGCCTAATTAGTGATCCAGGAGTGAAATGCTCCGAAGCTAAACAGAGCTGTGATGTGACTTATCAATAAAGGGAGATTGGACACCAAATTCCAATTGGCAGTCAGTGGCAAATAGAGATCTACCTGAGGCAGTTCTGCCCATCTTCCCCTGAGCTGCTGTCCGGTTTTTAGTCAGTGAAATATACATTGCACAAGAGGTGTTTATTGGCTTTCACTCGAAATTACGGCCCCAAATTGCTCAGAGATGTTTGAATGCCCCTCTCTGGTGCTTCCTGAGGCCAATAAACACTCCTGCCACGACTGATCGGGGCAGTGCCCACAGGCTGCCCCAACCAAGCCCTTATTCCAGGCTCAAAGAACATCAGGATTCCCCAGAGCAAGAAATCCTGCCCTAAAAGTAATGAATCAGCACCCCAGAGCCAACTAGACAAAATCAGAACTTGTCACCCACCGGATTCTCCTCCCTTTACTGGCTTTCCTGTCCACCTTCTTCTTTATTTTGCTCCTCAGCTTCTGGATGGCCAGCCACTGCCTGAGGAATGGAAAACAACAGGTGCACAACTTTCAGAGCCACCAAACACCTCCAGAAACAGTCTGGTCCCCAATAGTGTTGAAGGTTCCTCTCCTCAAACAGAACTTCTTCGAGTCAACAAAGTTTCCAGCAGGGAGAAACCTCTCCCACTTATAAATAATTTTTTTTTTTTTTTTTTACTAAAAGGAGCGTCATCTTACCTGATTTATAGAATGAAAACTCGACATCAGGGAAAAAAATCTAGCAAAATCCAATTACTGCAATCTTAATATAATCTTAATTACTGTGATCTATTTTATTGTAAAGTCAGATAAATGTACAATGTAATCACTACTTAAATGCAATTTTGTCTATATCATGTTAAATTATAGTGAATAGCTTTCCATAATAATCCAGATGTACACAAAATAAATTTGACACGTTGCACTAAACTTTGGGTAATATTTTACAAGGAGAAAAGTTGTTTCACCATCACAAAACTTCCCCGTTGCATTTTCTTCCCCTCTCCAAACATAACCCCATGGGTTGTTTCAGGGGAGAGCCCAACTACAGCATTCCCAACTTTCCTTTGCTTTTACACTTCTCTAAAGTATTTAAATGTACACTGGTTATTTAAACGTACACTGCTCATTAAGTGGCACTTGGAAGGTTCTTTATTTTCTAACTCCAGAATCAAACAGAGAGACAGAAATACCTGGAACAACCCTTTCCAAGTGGGAAGCACCTCCAGGGGATCACACATAAACCAGGGCACAGCTCACAAGTCAGACTGTGTGATCCATAACTGAGGAATACGTTACAGAGGATGAGCTTCCTGACTAATGCCATGCAGATTTCAGAATTTCTTAGGTAATTTCTTACACCCAGATGCTTTTTCCGGATCAACTCAGTACTTTTCCCTCTCCAGTGAACCGGACTGGAAGCCCCCAGGTGATTTTGCTGGAATGCAGTGCTGGGAGGAAGGCAGTGATGTTACAGACAACTCCCTCCTTACCTGCCCATTGCCACCTGGTCGTTGGGGTCCAGGGAGGTGGTTTTACGCTCTATCAGTTCTCGAAGGAGCTGCAAGAAAGACAAAATTCCCATTCACAGCCCAGCAAGGACATGTTAATGCAAACAGGCCCACAGGTTTCTCGGAAGAATTAGCTGCTAAGTTCCCAAGGGCCTCGTTTTTGGAACTCCCTAGAAAACCTCAAGCCAAAAACTGAGGCCTTTTTAACATTTCCTCTGCACAAAGAGCTTTCCAAGGGAAAAAGCCAATGGCTATGGTAAATGTTTGAGTAACTGTGTGTCATCTCCCTCTTCCAAAATGTCCCCATGGAGTATGTGATTGGGGCATAACACAGAAGGCCACTACAAAGAGTTTCTGTACGCAGTTTCAGACGGATCCAGGAGTAGTTTAATCTCCCCTTCAACACAGGCAGACCTGCAGGAAGAGCTGAGCCCCACAGGTCTCACCCCAGGCTTTGTTTGGGGAGGGCAGGGGGGCACTGAAGCACTTGCCCAACAGAAGTCAAGCCCTGCTGGGCAGTAACACTGAGGAACAGCACAGCAAAACTACTTTTATAGCTAGAGCACGAATGCTCAAGCAGGCTTTTCTATTTCTTTTTGTGTCCTGAGGGCTGGGGTTTGTCCTTTTTTGCTTCCTGCAGCCAAAGAATATTGTGAACAGCCTTTCTGGATAGTTGACTGGCGCTGTATGTTTATCACCACTCACTGTCAGCTCTACGTGCTGTGCCTTGGGTATCAGCCAGGATATTAACACCAAGAACAGAAATAAACCCTCCAAAACTGAGGGGCACTGATTGGTTTAGAGATGCCAACATTTCACCACCCAGTGAAGTTACTGCCTCAGCTCAGAAGCACCTGAAACAGCCCCACCTGGAAACCAGAGTCCAGGCAGTTCCACAAAGCCAGTGGGGAAGAAAGGATGCAGGATGCTTCTCCTCCACCCTATACTCTCCTCTCCTTCAGGACATACATCACATTACAAAAAAAAAAAGTGATTCAAACATAATTAAAAACCTGCCACTGCTTTTTTTTTTTTTTTCTATTTTCTTATTTTTGGAGATCATTACTGCAGCAATTACATTAAAAAATTCCAGGAGAGAGGCCACTGGTTTATTATCACTAGAGAACAGCAAGCTACTTCTCTGCCCTGTTTATCTGATTGATTCCCAACATCTTTCTGGCACACAATCTATCAGTTTATCTCTCCCACTTCATCACAGTCACTCCTGGCAGCTAAATACAAGATCCAAATCCAGTGCTACACAGACATACGACACAGTAAACCTGTGTAACACCGCCACTCTGTAAACAGCTGCCCTTAAGGCTAAGCAGAAATGGGATCTTGGTTTCTAGTCAATATTCTGTCAAAAGCAAGGTGGGAGGGAGGGTTGGAACAGCAGTGAGAAGTGGTGCAGAGAGGTTTTAGTGGTTTCTTCCTGTTCCAGCAGTAAGGTGTGTTTACTGTCTCCTCTTATCTCGTTCCCCGGCACGAGGCACAGGGAAAACGGCTGAGCAGAGAAGGCACACGGAGATGGTCACACACAGACATCCCACGCTCCCAGAGAATTCAGCAGCAGGACATTCCCAGAAGGACTTGCTCTTCCTGGTGGCCCAGAAATTCACAGACCAGTGGAAGGTGTCCCTGCTCATGGCAGGGGGTGGAACTGGATGGTCTTTAAGGTCCCTTCCAATCCAAACCATTCCATGACTCCAGGATGCATTTTTGGGGCAGGTTCCTGTACTGGTTTTTTTGACCTTGGCACTGACAAGGTCTTCCACTGTTCCACATGTTCTTCCACAACAGTGTCAACTGCAGGACTGGGCACACTGCTGGGAAGAGCAGAGGGAGGCAAAGACGAGGGATAAGTAAAATAAAGCAGGAGCAAGAGGGAAATTAGGAAACAGGAAGAAAAGCTGCAAAGCATCTTGTTACATCTAAACAGCATGTGTCTGGAGCTGAAGTTATAAATCATGCTAACAATGGTTACTAAAATAAAAGTGGATGTAGCCAGAGGCTACCACTGAAAAAGTCAGCCCAGGCCTCGCTGCCTTTGGTCTTTAAGGATTTGATTAGTTTTCCGCTTTCTAGTTCAGAGTGTTGCATTCAGCTCCTGCTCCAGAGCCAGCCAGGGCTCAGGACACAGAGGGAATGATAAATTCATTTACTGAATAAAGCCACACTGTTTTCCCAGCACAAGACTTAAAACACTTCCGAAGCTGCAGTATTTCATTAAGCTCGGCGATTCTGGTTAGAATTTATTAGTCAAAACAGAAAACTCTCATCAGACCCCATATATTCCATTAGGAATGATATATGGTGTCTCCCAATGTCTAATTATTAACTAGGAAGTGTAAGTAAATCACCATCAGCGTTAAGCCCTGATGTGTGAAGACTGAGTCTGAGTTAGGCAATTTCGGCATCACAAGGCTTTGATTTGAAACAGATCCTATTTTGCTTTCCCTCCTTCACATCTTCCCTGAACTTCAAAACCCCCACTCAGCTCAGTCTCCCATGGAAGCAAACACAACTGCAAGGAAGCACAGCCACGTCCAGCAGCTCAGCTGCCAGCTTTTCCTACGGAAAGCTGGAACCAGAAGGACCAACTGTGTCGGGCGACGTGGAGCAGAAGGAAGTTTCTAATCCCAGTTTGATTTTCCCTGGAAGGAAGGGGTGATGTTTGCCAAGAGAGCTCCTCACGTGCCTGCTTCTGAACTCCACAGCCAACAAAACCACCCCAACCACTCTCACCAGGCAGAACCAGGCACTACCAACCACAGGAGGGAAGAAAAGCCCGTGGAGGTGGTTTGGGGATGGTGGCGTGGTTTGCCCAGACCCACAGGCTGGGAGCTGACTGTCCTGTGCCCTGAGCACCCCAGAGCTGACAATCCACAGCTACTCACAGTGTTCCCACAAGAACAAGTCTGAGAGCTTCCAAAGCCATCAGTATTCACCCGCCCCAGCTGCCACCAAAGCCAAAATCCACAGCGGAGTCAGGAAGTGCTTTCTCAAGAACTCACCTTAAAGGGCCCCCTGTCCACAGCAGTTAAAGAGATGCACACAGAGTACACTGCACGAAATTAGAGGGATTTAGAAATGCCATCGGGGTGTTGTTCAAGGGTAATAGAGATTCATTTCTCATTTTAGAGGTCAATTTTCATTTTAGAGGTTAGGTCTCATTTTCATGCACTATCTATCAGCGTTTCTAATACTACAGTCGCTGACCTTTCTGATTTGCAGACCCCTAAGAATTTCCAGTTGAGACAAAGAGACAAGGATGGCTGAAATCCTGACAAAAGGCTCACTTGTCTTAGACCTTACAGAGCAAATCAAATTAAAAAAGGAAAGTCCATCTGTAGTATATCAAAGGCTTGAGTTTACAAAGCTTAGATATAAAATTGGAACAAAAGGACTGATTTTTCTCTAGTGTTACTAAAACCTTCCAGGAAAGCCAGGCAAGGCACGGGGTCACTTGTGCCACAGCGCATCAAAGGCACCTGCTCTGTCTTGCAAGTGGCACTGGTGCCTTTGAATTCCCCGAGTCAGGTGTGCCCAGAGGTGAGCACAGCTCTGCCAGGGTCCCTGAGTCAATAATAAGAATAATCTCACACAGGTCTGACAATGTGCATTTGGAAACAGCTGCACACAATGCAAAAGGAGAGCCCTGGGCTGCTTCTGCCAGCTCAGTTGTCTGCTGGAAGCAACAGAAACACAGGAAGATTCCACTGTCTGTGGATTCTGAAACAATGAGAAAAATGGGAGAAACCCAGACTTGGGTTTACCAGCAGCTGCTTAAATTTACTAGAACACACTGTCACTCCTAAAAATAAAAAAATATTCACTTTATTAGTGAGGAACTCTGAAATATTTGCAAATGTGTGTTTGTTGCTAGAGACAGTGAATGCACAACTACTGTGGTGTGCAGGTCTTTTTTAACAGTTTAAAAAGCAGGTTTTTTAACAAAATCACTGTAGGAAATAAAGAGAGAAGCTACATGCAGTTTGTTGAGTCCAAGTAAAGATGTGCACCACCACATGCTTTTCCTCTCTCCTGGTGAAAATGCAAAGTCACTCCTGAACAGAAAGTTGTCAAAGCTGCATTTTATCCATGTATTTTCATTACTATCCAATCTAACTTTTTTTTTCCTGCTCTAGTCCTCGAAGAGACATGGTGAATCATGTGAATTTATCCTGCAACAGCAGTATAAATCATGGAGGCTGTTTCTAGCCCAGGATTCACTCATTTTGCCCTGAGTTCTGCCTGGATGTACAAAACAAGCTGTTCCTTTTCTCCTTTCAAGCCCCACTCAGGAACAGTATAAAACCATTTGGATTTCTACCAACTCCAGAGAAAATTTTAAGACTGCAGCTCAAATATTACTTTAAATGCCCTTGAAACACTTTTTAAAATCTGTTTTTCTGAAAGCTATTTACAAAAACTTAACTTGCAAGACGAAATCAGTGGACAGCCTCTCATTAAAAAACCCATTTTATTCAAATTCAGGTTTGTGTAAGATGCACAGACTTGCCTATTTTCTAATAACCCATTAAGAGAAGTTCCAAATCAAGCTTTAAAACGTGTTATTAACCATCTACCCAGCCATTTGAAAGATACATGCCTGTGATAAGAGTATTGTATTGCCATTAACCTGTGGGATGGTTCGAGACATCTCTTATTCACACAAAACTCTAAATGCATCTAATTAAAGCCACAAGATCAGCTGTCCATATTAATCACTCACCGGTTTAATTAAGGTAAACCAGCTTGTCACAAAGCCAGTCTTCTCTCTATTCCTCACCATTATCGACTTTTAATAGTTCACTGGATTAGTAATTACTTGTTTATGGCATTATCAAATCCCTGGGAGAGGGACAGGCCCAGGAAACTGCTTGAGACACAAGGGGAAATTTACCCCATCAGGCAAAGTTTTCTGAAGAGCCCCACGGTGGGATTTAAAGAGTGATGCAGTGGGATTTAAAGAACCACACAACGGGATTTAGATAAAAGCACGACTCAGAATAGAAACAAATTGATCTGGAAGTATCTTAGCAAGAGGTTGGGATGTGCAGGTTTATTCGGTGTTACTCAGATTAAAGCTGGGGAAACCCTCCAGTGGGAAACCCCCCACGGCAGGGGGTTGGAATTGGATGGTCTTTAGGGTCCCTTCCATAACCATAACCAAAACCAGGGGAGGAGGGAGCAGGAGAGCAGGGAAAGAAAGGAATTATGTATATTCCCAATTCTCCTTAGGCATACCTGCTGCCATCAATGATGAACATTTGTTCTGGGAAGAGCTGCTACCAGTGGAACACTTAGCATATGAACACTAACCTAATTCCTGTTGGAAATAAAGCAATTTCCACTCTCTCCTTTACCAGAGGAGTATTTCAACCCAATAATAAAATCTCCACTGTAGCATGTCAGACCAGCAGCTCCCTGGTAGCAGGCTGGAATTTTAAGTCTTAATGCTGCAATATCAGCTGTAATGAATTCTACGTAAATATGACTTCTAAAAATAAAAAGCCTTTTTCTTCCCTTAAAACCATGTATTGAAGGAGACTTTAAAAGAAAAGGAACTGGGCTCCAGACAGTGATGAGGATCCTTCTGAAACAGTTTAACTGTTCCCACCCAGTGCAACCCAAATAAAAATATTTCACTTGCATAATTCAGTTCAGCTTTCCATCCCTGTTCAACAGGGGCACTAAAATAAAAATGTTGTGTTTGTCTATAAAACAAGTGAAGAATAGGAGAGAAGGCAAAGTGGGATGAACAGGCAGAAGAGAGTTAAGTCCTGAATAATCAAAAAAGTCCACCAGATACACCTGCCTGAATTCTACTGAATACAAGACCCGGATAAGAAAATTGTTTTTCCACAAGAAAAACATATTCATTAACGAATTTTGTATTATAATCTATTATAAAACAGCATAGCTACTTATTCTGTTAACTTGTGCACATTCATCAGCTCTTGTTCATTTTTACTTGCCTAATTTCCCACTGACACACGGAGGAAGTTGGTTTCCAATGCTATTCTTTATCTGAATGTTTACCTTTTTAAGCAGTAATCAAAATAAATTAATAATTACCAAACGTTATTTAGAAAAATGAAAAGGATACCCCCCCCCCAAAAAAAAAAAAAAAAAAAAAAAAAGGAGGAAAAAGCCTGGATGTAGACTTAGGAAGCAAAGAGCAGGTACTGAAATGCACCCTGCAATCAGCGTAATGCACAGAGGCCAGAGGTTGGGAGCTCAGCTCCCACAACCAGTGCCGCTGCTGAGCGCTCCTGAAGAACCAGCTCCTTTCCTACATTTTATTTATACCCACACATGCAATCTCACACACACACACACACACACAAAAGCACTGCACAGTTCTGACCCACGTGAAAGCAAACCCATTCAGGGCCTTGTCAGCTCTATTGTGCTGCGCTCTCCCCTCTCTGAATGGCGCCTTCAGCTCCGGCTTAGCGCCCTGACAAATAAAGGAAAGCACTTTATGAATCCAGTTTAATTGGGAGGTGACAGAAAACATACAGCCATTTTCTCCAGCCTTAGCACCGAACTGGCCTCAGCTCCAAGCTCTGCCAAATCCCACTGAACACGGGACATTAACCAGGTCAGCGGAACAGGTGCTGTGTGGCGGGGGCTGCATCCCCACAGCCACCGGGAATCTGTACGGATCATCTCTCCCAGGAAGCACGGTGGGGATGGGAGGGGAGAGGAAGAGAAGGAGGGAGGGGTATAAAAAAAAACCCCAAGCAAGAAGGGAAAATGGATGTGTGGCTGACAGGCGGCTCAGCAGATGTCTGTGCGTGATGTACGAGGCCGGGATAAGCTGTCGGAGCCCGCTGCCAAGGAGTGGCAAGTGATTAAAGCCTGCGCCAGGCTAAGCACCATATTTAGAGTCTATGGGGTTCCCAAAGTTGCACCCATCCCTCGCTGTGCTGCCAGATGTTGCTGGCGGGTCCTGCTCCTTCGCAGGAGCAGTTGGTGGGGCCAGGAATGCAATCTGGAACGTTTTCCGGAGGGGCCGCGCATTAAACCCGTGTCACCCATCCTTCACCTCCGCCGAGCGCTGAAACACCTCCAATTTGCTGCCACTTCCCTCTTGGGAAATGGCCAAGATACAGTTGTGCCTGGCAGACCCATTTGTTTTACTCAGGTGATTCTCTTCCCTCGATGACCTCTATTAGTTTAAGTTTTAATTTAGATTAACCCCAGCACCCCAATTAACCAGCGAGGGGAAAAGCTAAGCTGGGACTAGTCATATTTCTGGAATCACGATTTATCGGAGTTAAAGTTATTAGAAGGGAAGACTGGGCCATTCATCTATTGCTATTTTTCTTTTAAAAATTTAACATTTCGTGGCCAATAAGCACCTTCTCTGCACAGGTCCACAGATTGTCAATCTCAGCTGTTTCTCTTTGACCACTCCCCAGGATTTTGTTACGCTGACTTTTATTTGTTTTGCGTTCTTAGGGTCCAGCTGGCCCCCAGATTCCACCTCACAGATTTGGCTCCTTCAATCCCTGGTCCCAACAAGACAGGCACTCTCTGATTACCATTTAGGGCTTACACAGGGGGGCCTGGCACCCTCCCCTGCCCCAGAGATGCTGCTCAACCCACAGCTATGGAGATACAGAGCATGGAGAGGAGCTGTAGCTTGGAATGCTATACTATTCAGATCCATTCAGATCAAAAATTTCCACCTTTCTAATGATACCATGATATTTGTCTAGCCCTGAAGTTCAAGCTCTCTGTGGATCACCAAAGGTGGCCCAGGTTTCCGTGCCCTTGGGGAGGAATTACAGTGACGTTTTCCTCAGTATGTGACCATTTCCATTTCTCACAAAGCTGGCACTGTCTTTATTAAATAAGCTACAAACACAATGTTTCCGTGCACTGGGTGCAGATTCCTTGTTTCTAAGAATTTTGCAAATAAAAAGAACGACTGGCCCGGATCCAAGCTGGAATGACTCCAAGAGAAGTGCCAGAGAAGCCCTGCAGTTTTCCCATTCATCTGCTAGGTGAGATGATTCGGGCTGAGACAGGAGTAACTTCAGTGCTTTTGAGGGTCTACTACGATTGTTTTTCATACTGGGACTCTGCCCAGGGAGAACAGTCACCTTCAGGGAATTTCAGGGATTTTTTTTCCTCTTGTGCAGGAGAACAACAGGCACAGACAGAATCACCCTGCAGTCCCGACACCCCCAGGGCAGCAGTGCCAGGAGGGCAGCGAGTTTACATCCCCTGTGCAGGTTTGAACTCACACAGCCCCCTACAATGAAAATTGAGAGCAAAGTCCCCTGAGGCATCTACAGAGATTTTGGGTAACTGAGTTTCACAGGCGCAAGAAACACAGAGCACAGAACCAACTGCATTACCTCTGAAAGCATTGAAAACCAACTGGAGGAATAATTCCACACATTTACCATCACCTACCTGGTGGTAAAAGTCATCATCATCAAATATCTCCTCATCTATGTCCTTCAGGTGTCTGTTGGAATCTGAGGGAGGGAGCACTTCCTGCAAGCATAAAGGAAATACTGAAAGCCCATATGTGGATATTTCTGTCCCTAACTCCAACAACATCACCTGAGCAGCTTGTAAACACACTTGATGATATGAAGGAATGGAGAGAAACTCTCAACATAATAAGCTTTTAAGGACTAGGAATACATTCAAAGGTAAGGCAGAAATGTTGCCAATGCCAAAATAGATTTATGATACCTTTACTGGGAAATAAATAGGACTCTGCAAAGTCTTTCTGGCAAAATACTACAGATATTTTTAATGTAATGGCAAAAATACATCTTGCAAGGGCAGTAATTCTACCTGATCTCTCAGAATTGAGTATTTATTCATTCTTAAATACTAAATTAATAGCGGACTTACCACTAATGTATTCCGTAGGTTAGATGCAGTACAATTTTGGAAGTGACTTTCTGGGTTAAAGACTCTAAACTACAGCGTAAAAAACAAGTTTTGTAGCCTCAAAAAGCAAGATTTAGCGAGCACCACTTCCTCCAGCACAGGAGGGGCACAATCCCAGCCCAGAACTGGGACAGGAGGTAACGCAAACACCACAAAAGCGGAATTGGGACACCTACGTCTCCTCCTCAGCTGTTACACCGCAGGAAGCAACACTCAGGTGCCTCCTCCATAAATCTCTCACCGAGGAGAGCAGCGAGGCCCCCTTACCGAGTGGTCAGGCCCGGGCTGAGGGGTTGGCGGGGGCTGCGGCTCCTGCTTGCCCAGCACGGCGTACACGGAGCGCCTGGTCTGGGTGCGCCGGAGCAATCTCTCCCTGTCCATCAGGATGTGATCAATCTGAGCCAGGATGGAGCGCTCGAAGGCACCGAAACCCTGCAACGGCATTAACCAGTGTCAGATAATGCAGAAAGCCTTTCCTCAAGGCAGCAGTGTTCCCCTATCTTTCCATGTCAGCGGATAAGCAGGCAGCGTTCCGGGAGGAGGGGGTTTGGGTCGCGTCGCAGGGATTTCTGTTAGGATTTTTTTTTATTTGTTTCTCCCTCGCTCTCCCTTCCCAACCTGAGGCAACTTGACGCCCGGCTTAATAAAATGCCTTTGCTGTTCTGGTTCAGATTAACTTCTCAATGATTAATACTAACTCAGAGATGTGAGGAGACCCTGGATCTCCGGGTGAAATGATTACCCATTGTATTAAATGTACACTCCGTGGAGGAGGAGAGCTACAGAAGGCCCCAGTTCTGCTAGAAACCATAAACAGCCTGGAGATCAGCAACAGTGGCATTTTCATAGAGCTTATTTGCTGCTGGAGACTGGCTGTGACGAGATGTCTGGTCGGGAGAACCAACACCAACCAAGAGTTTTTCCCCATACTTGGGAAAACATTTGTCCCTGAAAAGGTTATTTCTGCCTGCCTGCTCAAAACAGAAGGCTTTTGCCTTTGCTATGTGAGGGCTGAGCTTCTTTGCAAACTCCTCTGAGGCTGGGGAGAAGTGTGTGCTGGTGTATTTAGTTCTTGCTGCTTTACCTCTCAGCCTAACTTGGAACATCCACGATATGAAACTTCCAAATAAACTTAAGAGTCATGGAATCATGGAACGGTCTGGATTGGAAGGGACCTTAAAGCTCATCTCCTTATACACCCTGCCATGGGCAGGGACACCTTGCACTACCCCAGGTTGCTCCAAGCCCTGTCTAATCTGGCCTTGGACACTTCCAGGGATGGGGCAGCCACAGCTTCTCTGGGCAACCTGTGCCAGGGCCTGCCCACCCTCCCAGGGAGGGATTTCTTCCACATATCAAACCTAGATTTCCTCTCTTTCAGTTTGCACTTGTTCCCCAAACCTCTGCTAAGCAAAAGCACGTCAGCACACACGAGCCAAGACTTGCCTTTCCCATTTTGCCAGTCGCCACCTTAGTCTTGTCATGCCACTTCTGCAGGACGCTGTTCCGGTAGGGCCTGAGCTCCGCGTAGCGCTTGGCGATGAACTCGGGGTAGTCCTCAAACTTCAGCTTTCGCTTGGGGAGGCTCCTCCTCTTCTCCTGGGCCTTATCCACCTGCTCCTCATCGCTACTGCTTGGGATTTCATCATCACTAGGACAAAACGCACAGGCTGAACACCCTCCACCTCTCTAAGGCAACGTGTGAATTCTCAATGGCCCCTCCACCACCAGCTTTTTCCACACCAGGGTGGTGTTTTTAGCGCAAGACCCACGGTTTAGCCCCTGCTCCATTATCAGAAAAACTACATAACAGACTTGCCATGAGGCAGAAGGAATTCAGATGGTCATTTGTCTGGAGTATGTGTCACCCAGACACAGCAGCACCGGAGAGAACAGCAGAGTGAGGGTGCTCAGGAAGGCTGTGCACTGTCCTGTTTGTTGGAGACAAAGGATGTAGAAAGATTCAAAAATACCTTTTTTTTTTTGTATTTACCTCTCAGCTTTTGCTTGCTTTCCATCGACCAGGTGCTTCGTGCCTGGGTACTGATAGAGCAGCTCGTCCTGAAGCTCCACCAGTACTTTCAGCAAGGCCTCCAGAGTTTTACAACCTGCAGAGCAAGAGACACAAGTGACAATTTCTTGCTCCTGTTGAACACTCAGCTTTGCAGTGCTTAGTTTCTCATCTTGAATCAGAATTTCTGCCGCAGCCACTGCATGTCCCATTAACTGTTTGTCTATAATCAGTTAGAGATGTGGTTTTATCTCCAAACTGATTTATGGCTGGTAATGTCAAACACCACCACGCCGGGGGAGAACATTTCTTTCCCAAGAAGGGAGGAAAGGAGGCAGAACTGCCTTCTAAACATCTGCCTGGCTGCACACTGGGAGTGTACTGATCTAATGTTTCATCCACAAACATTCCCACTGCAGAGCCTGAAGGATTAACATCCTAAAGAAGCAACACACATGTGACAACAATCTTTTTGCTGACTCACTTGTTTCTCTCCTGTGTTAAGTTCTGCAGCACAAGCCAGACTCGAATAACATGACACAAGGGAAAATGTACATATGTACAGGCCCTTCACACTGACCTCTGACTTTCCCTTCTTGGACATGATGTGCACGTTGTAAGAAGAAAAACCAAACCCCAAACTCCTGCAGGGCTGTGACCATCGCTGTGCTCACCACACAGGAGGTAGGACAACTTGCACTGCAAGTAAAATTAAGTGCAGCAAGATCTGAACTGTGGGGGCCGATATAAACTCTCCCTTTGCACATGGCCACACACCAATCCCAGGGTCAGCTCTCCCAGGTAAAACACTTGGCACACTTCTACCCCAAAACCTAAACTGAACTCCCTCTGCCTGGCAGAGCCCGTGGATTTGTGTGCAGGGCAGGAGGTGGAACCTCCCCAGAGCTCCCCCTGGTTCCTCCTGGGCCATGAAACCAGTGGGGCCGCTCTGAACTCCCAAACCTCCCTCTCTTTGTATTTGGCACAAAAGAACAGAGAGAACTTTTCACCACTCGATTTTTGTCTTTACTTCCTTTTTTTTTTTTTAATGGGGGACACAGAGATCATGGGTAGAGTGAACAGCAAATCTTCCTCAGCCAGACAGAGACAGTGCCAGCAGAAATCAGCCCAGACACTCAGAGGTCTCAATCTCCCACGTGTTACCACTGTGATATTGCTCAGTTGTCACCATCTTCAGATAAATTACGGCCTGACCTCAGTAACAGGAATGTCAAGGAGAAGATGCTTTAAGATTTTTGTTGCAGATCAGCTGTTGGATTCATCCTCCCCGAGCCCAGGGTTCATTATAGATACGTTCTGACAACTCCTCTATATAAACCTATTAACGGATTAGGTTTGCTGCGCTTGTAAATCAGACGTGTGTTAGCATCAAAACAATTCCACGAGACAAACAGAACAAAAAGCCCTTAAAAAAATGCATTTGTTGTGTGTGTCTGCAGCTAAAGCATCGCCTGCAAAAGCAAAGTGCCCCCACCCCAGCCCGAGTGCACAGCTTACACCAGCAAAATCCTTCCCACTGCCTGCAACGCAGCGAAATGTCCCCAGAGCTTCCGAAACTGTTTATTTTCTCCCCGCTGCCTCTCCTCCAGCAGCAGTGCTAATGCACCCCAGGCAGCTTTGATCCTGGCAATTACAACTGGAGTAGCACTCCAGCTCTTCTGGGGTATAGCAGGGCCACGGCGAGCAGGCAAGGAAATAAAGACAGGCTCGAGCTCCCCCAGGCTCTGAGATACGGACCCCAACAGAAGTGGGGATGGGGAGCAATTTTATTTGGAGTGAAGGGGATGGAGAGGGCAGGGAAGACAATGACTGCGCGTCTAACCAGGTGGGAGGGCTAATTATTCCAGGCAGTGGCTTCATCACGAGCCTCTTACAGCTGGGTAATTTCCGTGTTTTCAGTTCTTGTGTATTTAATAGCATTATTGGATGGCATTCTCATTGTTCCTGTTGGCTGCTTAAGTGTGCTGTAAACTCAACTTCAGAAGCCAAGTGTCACCCTGGTCCCTTCCCACCCAGCCCTGCCCTATCCATTTCACGTTTCATTCCAGAAGGGACTGTTTTCTTCCCAGTCTCCTCTTCATCTTCTCTTCCCTCTAATGCCCTTGTCTGCCTTTACACCACTTCTTTGGGGACGAGTCTGAACCCATTTGTGAATGAAGGCAGCACAAAACACAACTGTTTCGGGGTGCCAACTGTGCCATTTTGAAAGGCAGCTGGACACTGACCCTCCTGCTCTCCCTACCTGCCCCCCAGCACGTTTTCTGTTATGCTGCTCCTTGTCTGAAACACACAATTAAACAGAGAACAGCCACAAACACTGAGCTTTCAAATGCCCCAGTACATGAAGGCAACCAGCTCTGCAGCTTTCAGGTGTGATAACCACCAGGTGTGCCCCTCTCAGGGACAGGCAATGCCAGCCCTGGCCACGGAGCAGGGATGTCACTGCCATGACCTGGGTTAGGTCCCGGGCAGTCCTGGATGGTTTTGTTTATAAAGCTCTCAGGATCAAGAAAGTATCGACACAAACTGGCCAAGGATGAAACAACGCTGTTAACTCCACAATCACCCTCCCACTACTCCCCCCTGATTCTGATGCCAACAGCTTATTCCCAGCTGCTCTTCCCAGCACAGTGCCTGGGATGGGGTCAGTGACTGCAGACACAGCACTGTGAAAGCAGCTGGAAACTGTGGAATGCAAAACTCTCCCGACCCAACTTTGCTGGCACAGTTCACCCCAGCTGCTGCCTCTCCCACCCCTTCTCTCCCACACTGTGCTGGTAGCTTTGCTGCATCCCTTATAACCTGCTCTCCAATGTGCTGGGGTAAATATTCCACCTTATATATTTGACACCAGTGTCACAACCAACACCTTCAACACTGGCCCATAAATCATCAGTGAGCAAGATCTCAAAACTATCTCCTTTTCCAGGAGTTACTTCTGCATATCCAACCTGTGGTTTTTTGAGGGCAGGTGACTCAGCACTGCCTTAAAAACTAAGGAATCTGATCCCTTTATGGCATCTAAAATCCCCCCAGACAAGTCAAGCTCTGTGTGTAAGGGAGGTCAACTAACTCCAGGACAACACACAGCCCCTCCTTCCATCAAACCTTTCCTAAAGCTGCCCTTTGGATCCATCTGCAGCTGCCCCAAGAACACAACAAACACGGTTTGAATAAAACTTCCAGCTGAAATGGCACTCAGAGTGTCTGTGGGGAGACACTAACTTGTAAGAGTCACTTTTGAGAGTCCACAGGAGCCCCTTCATTTTGTGTACAGGAGTGAAAAAGTTGTTCCAGATCCAGCAGGCAGCATATCAATCCACCAGGAAAGCTGGGAGCCAGCACCAGTAAATCAAAGTGTGCCTTCCTGTTAATACTCCCTCACACACTCTCATTTTATACATCCCTCCACCCAGCCAGGAAGCAGCCCTGGAGTATTTAGCTCCATTCAGGGATAGCACTGCCATGTATCAAAGTGTCAGGAGACCCACCAGAGATGAAATCTGTCCTGCTGCTCTCCAACCACAAAATATCAATTTTGTCAGTGCCAGGGGTTATGGACAAACTGGCTGTGCTGGTGGCACCCCCCTTGGACTGTGGAGGTTCCTGGTGGCAAGGGACTGACCCCCAGGCTCCCACACCCCCATCCATCCTCTCCACACGCAGAGCTGCTGTGGAGGCTCACACAGTGCCATGTAGGATGGCTTCAGTGCTCATCCATGCTCCTACTCCAGCATTCCCACAGCCTCCCACACAAGAAAAGATCTGTGCTCTCTTCCATGACCTCTAAAAACGGGGTCTCATTTCATCTTCCCAAGCAGCTGTGGAGAGCAGCAGCTGGTACAGAGCCACAGGGAGCTTTGAGCCCATGGAAAAAAAGCTGGAGCCTCAAGGCTTTCCGAGGTATTCACAGAGCCAAGCCCTGGGATTCCCAGAACTCCTCCACTGGGCACATTCCTCCCTGTCTAACCCTGGTCCACCCATCCAGCAGGTTTGGAGCATGACAGGTTCACAGAGCCAAGCCCCGGGATTCCCCAAACTGCCCCACCAGGCACCTCCTTCCCCCCTGACCCGGGTGCATCAATCCAACAGAATCCAAGTGCAATGGGTAAGGGAGGAAATCCCAAAATTGGGGCAAACCTCCCAGGATTTTCCCTCCATGTGGCACCTCGCAGGGCGCTGCCAGGGCAGTGCTTCCCACAGCCTGGGCTCTGCTGTGCACACACTTATCCAAACACACACAGAACATCCTTCCCAGGATGTGCCAGCAGGAACCAGCGCCTGCCCGGCACTCGGCTCGACTTCAGAGCCCACGCCAAGCACTGGAAATTAACTCCTTTTTTCCCCTCAATTAAATCTGAGGATCTGGCATCACAGGAATGTCACCACCGTGCAGGCTTTTCATTTTCCATGTTACCTCCACAGGCTGTGGGAGTGCTCACACAGAAAAGCTGGTGTTGGAAGGACGGCACGCAGAGCAAAAAGCTGAGCTGCCAAATACTGGGAGCGTCCCCACTGCCACCACAGAGTGTCCCCACGGAGAGTCCCCGTGTCCCTGCCACGCTCCGGCCACATTAATACAAACGGGGGAGGAGGAGAGGAACCCATCCTCTTTTATTTTAATAGCTGCACATAATGAGAAGTATCTTTATCAGGTGCGGGCGTTTATCCCAGCGTTCAGATGAAGAGGGGGAATTTTCCCCTCCTCTCAAAGGGCTGCGGGACAGGAGTTAAACTCCAGGTCAAAATGGCCCTCGATCCGCTGGCCTCGGAACAATACTCCTCATTCAAAATCCACCAGCCAGCCACTTGCACTAGTCATCCCCAGCAATTAATCCCCCACGAAACACGTTTGATTAAATCTTTTCAAGCAAATCCTTTGCTTTGCTTTTGTTAGTTCACTTCTTGTCAACATCTATTAAAATATGCCTTTAATTCTCCCACAATCTTAAAAAACACCGATTCCACTGTCTTCAACTTTAATCAACTGTATGGCCGGCATTTTTCATTTCATAATAATGTGCTGTTTGGAATTCAAGAGGCAGGCTCAACATCAATCATTCGGCAAGAATTTTT